TAACAATTTACCGTTATATTGTTAGACGTCGAACAGCTTATTGTATACCTTAAGCCTAATTGAAAGGAGTCCCTCATGTTCAGCTAGTCCCATAGTAAGCCTTCGGCAATAAATAGTATAGTACACTGATTTCTTGTTATGACCCATAAGCTAAGACATGTTCTTCATGTTGCAACTAGTAGAAAAGTAATCATCCTAAGAATCAGAAAGGGTCAAAGGCTCGAGCGAGGAAGGGTGTCGAAGGAAACCCATAATTAGAATGTGGGTATCTAGACTCGAGAGAGGGAATTTGTCATGACTGTAAGTAGTAGAAGTATGAAAAACGGCAGGGGTTTTGGAATTATGAGAAGTTTGCCCCTTAGGAAAGTGTTGCCGAACAAGAAAAAATGGTCATGAGTGGAGATTCTATGATTGCTGGAAGAACTGGGAAGTCTGACATTTGATTTCTTTTTATGGTTCTAAGACATAGAAAATAGTTTTAAAAGCTCATCTTGTTGGATGATTTTTGAAAATAATCGCTCTAACAAAATGGAAATATTGCTTCTCAAATAGAAAGCATTCTCATTAATTATCTTTCCTTATGATAGCTTCCATCAAAATGGATATATATCCATGTCCTGAAATTTATTGTTCATAAGCTAAAATTTATTGTTCGTATATCCATGTGTATCTGAGTGTTAATTTGAATGATACTGATTTCTAAAGGGTTTTATATTCACGCCCTGACATTTATTGTTCATCTCCAATGTATGTATTATGTAATCCTTCAAACTTTTAAACTTTTCAGATGGTTCAGAAATCCATAGACTCCAAATTCAGTGAATATGGACATGGAAATTCTGGGAAGGACGTGCCTTCTCAGGAAAAGCAACTGCAGATTTCTGCAAAAAAGACAGCATTAAGGGACTTGCAAAATGATAATAGGGTCACAGCTTCCAATTGTACTGGAAGCTCTCCTCTTTTGAAGGAAAGAGGTCCGAGTAGTGACTTCATTAAAGTTTCTGGTAACAACCCAGCAACTCCGTCTCATCTCCATTCTTCGACTTCTAATGCTTCAAATGGGCATCTTGTTTACGTCCGTAGAAAGTCCGATGCCGATATTGGGAAGAATAGTCCTTGTGATAGTACAAACATAAAAGGTGATTATCCAAATCTAAGTAAACTCGGTCAACTAGCTGAAACTGCGCATCTCAAATCCCAGGTTAAGGAGCTACAGAATCATTGCTTTCCAGCATTTGCTCCTTTTCCAATGGTGTCTCCCATGAATGCTTCTGGAAAACCTTCAGTTCCTCATCACGTTGGAAAATATGGCATTAATTTCACCACAGCAGAATCGAACTTCCATCCTGCACCTTCTACTGTCCCTTCAGGATGGAAAAATTTGCAGTGGGAAGACAGATATCATCAGTTGCAATTGTTATTGAATAAATTGGACCAATCAGATCAACAAGATTATCTTCAGGGTATGCTTTTGCTTTGCATTTAAGAAAGTGCTTTATCTTATTCCTGAAATGGTTTGACTGATCCTTATTTACTCCATGGATAATTTCACACTTCTATCAGTGCTTCGTTCGCTTTCATCGGTTGAACTTAGCAGACATGCAGTCGAATTGGAAAGGAGATCCATTCAGCTCTCGCTTGAAGAAGGTAGTTTGATTTCTGGTTTTACATAATTTCACTTTCCTTTTTTATGATCTGGAGAAACTTAGTAGTCTGCAAATGGATTAATATCGAATCACTGTAGATCTCCTCAAAGTAATGTTGAGGATGGTTGGGAGTCCGAAATTGGCTAATTAAGCGATTGATAATGGATTTATAAGTAAGAAATACATCTCCATTGGTATGAAACCTTTTGGTGAAACTAAAAGTCATGAGAGCTTATGCTTGAAGTGGACAATATCATACCATTGTGGAGGGTCGTGGTTCCTAACATGGTATTAGAGTCATGCGCTAACTTAGCCATGTCAATAGAATCCTCAAGTTTCGAACAAAAAAGTTGCTAACCTCGAAAGTGCAGGCAAAAGTGACTCAAATGTCAAACAAGGGGTGTACTTTGTTCAAGGCCTCCAAAGAAAAAAGTCGAGCCTCGATTAAGGGGAGGCTATTCGAGGGCTGCATAGACCTCATGGGACGCTCTATGGTGTACTTTGTTCGGGTGAAGATTAATGAGGATTGTTGGTAGTCCCATCTCCATTAGTATGAGGCCTTTTAGGGAAATCAAAAGCGAATTCATGAGAGTTTATGCTCAAAGTAAACAATATCATATCATTGTGGTCGGTCGTGGTTCCTAATAAGTTGCATACATGACTACCCAATATATGAAACATCAAACAGCTTCCTTCTGCTTTGGAACAGGATCATAGTAACTTAAAATTCCTCTTTTCTTCCTCACAGCAAAAGAGCTGCAGCGAGTTGGGGTTTTGAATGTGCTGGGAAATCCTGTAAAGAGTATCAAAACGCCGTTGACTCATCAAAACGGTTCAGAGACGTAAGAGTATGTGCAGCATACTGTTGTTCTTCACGTCGGTTGGACGATGAAAACGTACTGGATTGCAGTTGAATCGAGTTTGTTCTGAATTCACAATTCTCGGTCGCCAACAACCGGAAGCTTGCTGGTTTCTTGTAATATTCTGCCAACTATTTCATTAACGATATTTCTCATTTGTTTTGCAAAGGTTGTAACAAAAGATTGCAACTGCATGCCTTGACTGACTGTTACCAGGAGCAAGAATGGAAACAAAATCCCCTACTTGTCACATCCTCCTACACTTCCTTTTTCTTTGTTCTCCCTGTTGATCCGATTCCATACGTAGGTGATCGAGATTAGTCGCTATTCAATTGGTTAGGTTAATCAACACGAGTCCGGTTCGACAAGCCAGGTTGAATTTGTAGGAAAATCAACACAACATATTTGAAATATTAAAATTAATTGAATCTTAATTTTTTTTTTTTTTTTTTTT